TGAGAGATTGAGAAGAGAGTTAAGCCATGGCCAGATGGTTGCAAAGATCAGAATGGGGTTGGCCCAGGGCCAAGCCATGAACCAGAAGTTTCTTCCAGGCGTCCCATGTACCTGTAGGCACCAAAGTTCTAGAGCTATCTTTGCTGCTTTCCTAGGCACACTAGCAGCGAGTTGGAGCAGAAGTGGAAAAGTTGGGTCTGGGACAAGCGCTCCTTTAACATGCTGGCATTACAAGCTTAATCCTGTGTGTCATAGTGTCGCATCTCCTCCCCATTGCTCTTGTTGCTCTTAAGCTGAAACAAAACTCTAAACAACATCTACAAAGGGATTGTCTGTGCCTCTACCTGTCTTCAGCATATGCTGCCCTGCCCTGTCCTCTACCGCCTCTCACAGGGGGCTTTTCTCAGTACTTGCTCCTTCCTCTTCTGGCCATTGCTTCTGCACACATTCTGCTTCCTCTGCTTACAGTGCTGCTCCCTTCCTTCACCCCTTAGCTGCAGTCATTTATTCTTCTGTCCCTTGCTCAATTGTCAGTTCTTCAGAGACGCCTCTCCTAATCACCTTAATTAAATCTAATCACACTATCACTCCTCCAGGTGCCACAATCCTCCGTTTTCTGGGCTGATGGTTTTAATTTTATATCAAATCATATAATTATATATTTTTCCTAGTACAATGCAAATTTTGCTAACGCAAGACCTTTGCCTAGATCTGCTCACCACGGAATCCTCAGCATAAGCTTGACACGGGTATCCCTTGTAAGATTTCTTGATTGGAAACTTAACAAAGTTCCTTGAGGTTTTTTGAAACAGATATTACAAGGTCTTTAATACAGTTTTCCTCTAAAATACATCCAACCTACTAATGTATCTATTCTGAAAACAGGTCTAAGTGGAAAGACTTTCCAAAATATAAAAATCATTGTTCATGTCTATTATTCTTTCATCCTATCTTCCTGGACCTTTCACTTGTGGTCTTAATATAGAGGCCTTGATAAAGCACATGAATAAAATTCCTTAATAAAAATTTCCTCTTGGATTATACATTGAAAAATAATAGAATTTTTTCTCTAATATTATTTTTCCTGCTATTCATTAGCATTAATATGAATACTGTATACTAATGATAGAAAATTCAATATATCTATGCTTTTTTGTATATCTCTGTTTTCTGTTATTTTATTACCAAGGATATTAACAAATGTTGTATTTCCTATAATAGAAGGAATATTAACTCTGAATGTACTTATAACTTCATAGGAATCCCGATGACAAATCCACTTAAATCTACAAACACTATATGATCAGTAGGTGGAAATTTTCTAAATTATTAAAAACACGACAGGAAAGGAAGATAGTAACAGGCATGGCAAGAGGTCAACACTAGGAAACAAGAAGCAGGGCTGTACAAATGACATACACTGACCTTCTATCAAAGGGAATCTTCATGTCATCAGGTCACATCTATACAGCTTAAGCCATTCAGGCTCAGGCCCCACCAACATCGCCAGAGAGGACTTGAGAAAGATATAAAAGAGGACCAGAGTACAATTTGCTGCTAAACAAAGAGGTCCTCAGTCAAATGCTTAGAGTCAAAGAGGTGAAACCATTAGCAAGTTGCAATCTATCTTCTTAGAAACAAGAGGGGGCAGACTACAAAGGGGGCAAGCCGTTTTGTCAGTGACCACCAATCCACTTGATGGCATGGCCAGCACTGAAAGCCGGACCAGTCAACACACAGTCATTCCATTGTACCACGTCACCTCGTCATATCTGCCCTCTAGAACTCTCTTGGGGGAAAAAAAATCTGAGCAGAAAATTCCAAGTCACAATAAGCGTAACACGTAACTGACCTTATCCCTAGCCAATAATACCATAAGAAACCACTGCCTCCTCTGTGCTCGGGATTCTTTGTCTCCAGGGCGCATAAGAAATCTTAACAGAATGTATTTTCGACATGGCAAAGTTTCTGTGTCACCTCATCTCTTTCTGCAGTTAGAAATGCCAAGACAGGCATTCAAGCAATACTTTCCATTTTAAAACTTCTCGCAATTTTTTGCAGAAAAGAATATTGACATGGAAATTCATAAGATGATGCATCAGTGGCATCTTATTAAACCAGATATCCAATGAAATAGATTCTGATTTATTGGATTTGCTGGTGGCAAATACCATGGCCATTCTGGAACAACCAAGTCTGTAAGAAATTGTTCACAAATCTCCACAATTCCTCACAATTGGCTGCAGTGGACTACACAGGCAACCTCAGCACAGCACTGGCACTTACATGAGAGTCTAGATATCATCCAACTCAACCCACTGCTTTAATAAACAGGAAGTTGAGGCTCTGCCTTAAGATCCCATCATGGCTTGGGAGAAGATCACATGGAATGATGATTTCATGACTCTCAATGATCCTTATCAATTAAGTGAAACTTATAAAACAGGGAGCCAGTGCTTTCCATATGACTATTCCTTCAAACACCAGCAGCAGCAACAGAACAGAGACTATTAAAGATGCATGTATGTGGGGGCCAGCACAAAGGATCAATAGGCTGATCCTCCTCATAGAACATCATCATCACATATGGGGACCAGTTTATGTACCAGATGCCTCACTTCCTGTCCATCTCTCTGCTTGTGGCCTGGGAAAGCAGTAGAGAATGGCCCAAAGCCTTGGGACCTGCACCTGTGTGGGAGAACAGGCCCATGGTGTGAGATTGGCTCAGCTTGAGCCATTGGGAAGATATAGGTAATAAAGCCAGTAGCTTTACGGTCTTTGTCTCTCCTTTGCTCTGTAAGCCTGCCATTCCAATAAAATAAATAAATCTTTAAAAGATGTATGTTTGTGTGGTGGGCATGTGGTGCAGTAGTTAACACACTGCAACTCCCAGTCCTTGGACTTCTCCTGGCCTGGTCGTGGCTGCTGTGGATATTACTGGAGTGAATGGAAGACGGAAGATCTCTTTCTGTCAGTCTATCTCACTGCATTACAGATTTGATGAAAACAAATAATAAATTGCATCATGAACACACACAATTATGTATATGCACATGTATATTATATTAATGTATATGTATAATGTATATTATATATATATATGTATATTATAATAAATATAATATAATATAATATAATAATATAATATAATAATATAATGTAATATATATAATAATATAATAATATATAATATATAATATTTATATTTTTAAAATTCATGAGCTTCATCTCTGACTCAATGAATCATAACCTCATGGGCCCAGAAATCTGTGTTCAACTAAGCTCTTGGAGAGACACGGGGAAAGGAAAGAGTATTTTGTTGATACCCACAAATATTTTTTAATGAAACAGTTCAAACACCAGTCAAGGGCAATAGCTTTTCTTTTTATGTCATCATCCGTTAAGGGAGATGCTTTACCTGATCCTTCTGTTTGTAAAGCTGGCAATCTTACAGTTGCAAAGACACACTTTGTAAACACATTTTAGATTTTTGTAACAAGAAGCAAAAGCTTTTGCCATGTATTTTCCAACTCTCAAGCACAATGTTTAGTAGACCAAACTGTTACATAGAATTATGCCATAAAATTCAAAATAAAAAAATGGAGTTGTTAGTATTGTTGTAATTATTATTAAAGAGACAGTAAAAAGAGAGAGCTACCCCGATACCACTGATACCCCGATACTTCCCTCCCCCCGATATCACCAATAGATAGGTTCTAGGTTTGATTTAAGCCACAAGTCTCAATCCAAGTTTCCAAAGTAGCAGAAAATTAAGCAGTTGAGTTGTCACCACTGTCTCCCAGGATCAGCCGGGGCATGAAGCTATAGTCAAGAGCCAAATCTGTATATTTAACCCCAGGGCTCCTGTAGGGAATGTCAGTGTCCGGACCCACAGAAGAAACATTCAGCCCTTAATAAACTATTGTGAATGAGTATTTCTCTCCCAAGGTCCAGTTATTTCTTTCATGAATCAAGGCAGACAATAGCAACAAGTTTCCCCCACCTTAATCCATTTACTGCTATACATAGTTATGCATTTCTTGTTTTGCTTTATCTGCTTCTTTACATTGCTTTGCTGTATACTCCCATTCTGAAAATCTAGAATAAAGGCAAATAAATATTGTCTGATTTGATTTCCTCTAATAGTTAAGAGGTTAGGAAATTTACAAAATAAATATCCTCTCAACCTTCCTGTAAATGCACTGCACAAGAGAAAAAGAACAATTGAGTAATAATTTCTCTAAGTTTAAAAATATACAAGGCACAAACGACAAATATCTGTAGTAATATTATTCTGAAAATTATCAGAGAGCAATTTAAAAATACAGGTCTTTGTTCTTTGATTCATTATTCTTTGCTAATTTTATTTGGAGGACACACTCAAATATATTTGCTACATTTGCACATAAATAAGAGAGCTAAGTGCCTGTTGACAATAGATCAATGACAATTATTTGGAAGGGGATTTCATCGTTTCTATTCCTCCTAGCATATATAAAATTTCTCAGTCTTAACAGAAGATAGCTTCACTGTAGTTGGCAGATATTGTCACAGAAACTACCTTATCCTTCATTCTGGCTAGAATCACTTCATTCTGGCTAAAGCCGCATTTGCCAAGCAATAATCAGAAAAGCTTTGGCAAAATAGGAAATAATCATCCCAAAGTCTACCACTGAGGGTTGTTGAGATTCCTTTCACTTCTCAGTCTCTTTCATGAGACTCATCCCTGACTCCATCAGCCCCACGGTCTGAAAACACAACTCATCCCTTTTCAGGTCAGTCAACAGCTCCTTGCATATTTATACAAGGATTTGTTCAATGAAAACTGAGTGTTATACTGCACTCCAGGAACAGCCTAACATGCAATCTCAAAGTCCTCTCTCATGCAACATAGTTTCCTCAATGAGACATCAATGATTGCCTACCTTCAAGACAATACCAGGTTATGGCCACAGCAGGAGGGGAGTGAAAAATGATACAGTGAACATGAGGACACTTACGGTTGGCACAGCTTGATGAGGTCCTGGTCAGTGGTGCCTGGTGGAAGGCCTCGAATATACAGGTTGGTTTTACTCAACTGTTCTCCACTGCTGTTGTTGCTGCTGTTGTTGCTGCTACTGTTTGTGCTGGGGCTGGGAGGAGCCATGGGGTGGGGAGCTGGTGCATAGGACTGCTGGAAACAGAAAGAATTGTTACTGGAAAAACAAAAGCTGGCACCGCTGTTCATAGAGCCAGCAGCACAACTCAAAAGCAAAGCAAGCTTCTCATCCTCTCCACTCCACACACGTGCATGCATTTGTACAGCCCCACCATGCTGCTGCTCACAAGACATCATTACTTTCTATTCTGTAAGTTCTGCATCTGGGTCACAATGTCACCCACAAACAGGATAAGCAAACCGCATGTACTCTTGATAAAGCTTTTCAATGTGTCCCTAGCCACGCCTAGGCTGGTGAGGTAGTATGTTATGTGCCTCCTTTAGAAATAAACTTTCTCTTGGCACCAATGTGCCACCCTTTGCTTTCTTTCCTAGGCAAGCATCTTTGGTTTGCTTATAATCCTTTGTTCGCTCCTTCTCTGCAAAGAAATATTTTTTTTTCCTATCGGTTTCCTCCTCACGACTGGCTTGATATGTGCATTTTTCTGTAAATATAAAGTCTGTAAACAAATAAGTGACTCAATGAGCAAATACATTGTAGTTCTCAAAAGGCTGATTGTCTGTTGCATGTAAAATAGTCGTCATTACTTTCAGGAGCCACCCTGGAATTTCCTCTGATCCAAGGTCCCCATCTAAGCACCACAGATCTTCTGGACAGCATTATTCCTTCATTTGGAGTTGTCCTATTCATGATAACAAGATTAGCAGTGCTCTCAGCCTTTCTCCACAGATTCTAGCAGCACACAGCCCCCCAGGAGTGATAAACAAAACATATGTAATGTCTATAAACGTTTTGTTGTTATGATAATGATCTATTCACCACCAGAGAGCCACTGCTATAATGTCACATCATTCCATGGCGAAATCAATGTAATAAAATGTGTAATTCTAATTGCACCTGCCAGAATTAATCTATTTATTCACTATGCTTCTTAGTTTTTTTTTTTTAATACAAGCATGGATTTATAAGTTCTCAAATAACTGAGTCACTTCTATGTCTTTTTTATTCTTTTTTCTTTCTCTCTTTTTTCTTTTTTCTTGCTTTTTTTTTTTTTGGCTGTGTGACCCTAGGAGGGTGTTTTAACCTCTCTGAAATGGTGCTCTTGTTAATACAAAAAGGGAAACAAGAAAATTGTTCAAGATCATAGGCTCTTTTAGAAAAAATGAGGTAACAAACAGACAAAAGTCCTCGAAATTAGAACCAAACAACAAATATTAGTAAGAATAAAAATAGGGTTAACATCGTGGCTTGAATCGGCCTTGCCAGTGATATCACTCTGTGACAATCATAATTCTGCTTCGGTTTTAGTCTGCATTACTGCTCACAAGGAGCACATGCATCCAGACTTCAGGCGACTTTTGGCTGTGTTCTACCCTGAAGTCTCATTAGCTGTTTTATCAGGTTTGGAAGGTGTGTCATTATCAAACAGCACGTTTTGGGCACAATAGCAAGACAGTGTTCAGATGAGGGCAAACTACACAGTCTTTTTTTTTTGGCATGAGAGTGAGCCAAGGAATGACTTGAGAGTAGATCTCGGTGCCTTTGTACTCCCATTCTTAAATAAAAACCTGAAAGAAAAATTGAAATATACACAGGACAAACTTTTCTGGAAAAAAAATAATGGGTGCTGAATTCAAAATTGGTAGTCCTCTTGGGTCCAGGGAAATGAAGAGCTATTCTGGAAAAAAAAAAAAAGTGCCTGCAGCCTTGGTCATGGAAAGCTACAATCCTTATGTGGCAGCCTTCAGGGACTCCCACTGAAATGAAACATCCACAAGAAAGTTCTGAAATCCTATGGGAACCTTTCACTATTCCTACTGTCAGTTCAGTTTGAACCACCAACCTTTACCCTTCCTATTCAGCACAGCCAGGATTGGCTCTACCCATCCTTCAGATTGTAATTCAAATGGCACCCTACGGCACTCTGCTATTTCCTTCCAATATTTTCAGCATACGTGCTTTTTCTCTAATGTGTTTAGGGCTTGCTTATTTAATGTTATTGTTATCCCTGGCATTAATCTCTATGCTCCCCAAGGCACAGAATGAATCAGCCATTATACAAATAGTTTCTAGTCTCATACCTGATATACAATGATTACTTAATACAAATTTAGGCTGCAATATGAACAATAAAGGTAGCACAGCACCTATCCTACATAGACAGAAGACCAAGTTTCACCATAACTCTAGTTTCACACTGTACGTGTTTGTTTTGTGCCTTGAAGGATCTAAGATTAGCACCAGTATGCACTGCCAACTGGTTTAAGGGGACGATTCTCAGATATGTTATATCCAACTGCAATTCATTGCGTCTGTTCTTTCATCTCTCCATTCCCCCACAACACACATCCTCCCCAATAATCCCTCTGCTTTCAGCATTGTAGGAATGCTTTCAGCCTCCTGTTCAAAACTCCTCTATTCTCCAATTGCAGCCCTCAGAATAGTCAGCTAGCAACATCCCTGACAGCTTTTAGAATCATCTTTGCTTCTGAATTCACCTTGTTCCCCAGGTCAGACTTAATATCATCTCTCTTCACAGGGCTTCCTGCTCCCCTTCTCTAGTTTCTTTTCCCTCCCTTCTCTTTTGGGAATCACTGAAAGAGGCAGGCAGTGGGGAGTTGGGGAGGGTTGAGCATTGCACAAAATTACAAAATGCAAACACAAGCTGGCCAAAAACTAAGGAAAGGGGAAATGAGAGAACAGATAGGAGAGGCGCAAATTCCAGAGCCTACAACTCCCTTCTTTGAAATAAACATCTTTCTCAACCATTTCTTCAACACTGCTTGATTTAATATCAACATGCTTTAACGTAGAATTTGCAAATGAATTACACAGGAGAACATTTTCTTTTGCCAATATTTGAATTAAATGGCAGATATTCAATGCCTTTTTGGAATTTAATATCTACATTAAGCTCAAGTTTCTTTACTGATAGAGAAAGCTATGACTCATTCCCTGACTCAAAGTACTCTATTTCTCTCCTTGGCTACCCTCGACAGTTGAGCTTTCCCTCTTTCACAAATGCTGCACACAGTAGGTGTTCAATACACAGTTGTTCCAAGGCCTACCTGGTCTCTGTCCCACTAAGCTCAGGGGAGATTCATCTTTCATCTCTCCCATGTGCTCTTCTTCTAAAATGCACAGGGCCTCTCTGAAACTGTTCTCTCCCACTTTCACTTCCCCTCTCTCCGAATTCTTTGAATTCCATTCTGAACTCCAGCTTCTTTTAAAATGAGACTTTGTTTAAAGCTGTGTTTTTTTCCTCAGTTGCACAGCCTTTTAAACCACCAGGGAGTCGGAAGAATGTCTCCAGCTTTATGTACCAGGATTCAGAGGCACCGGTTCAGAGGGAGCACTTGAGCATCAAATAAGACACCACCAGTTACAGGACCATGAGTCTGTGTTTACCAAATTCCTCTTCTCCTCAGATAACTTACCCTAACTGGAACATCACTTAGTGAACTGCATGAAACCATCAACATGCCGTGCAAAGGGCCCCCATATACACACTGGGAGAAAAAAAATTATTGGAATTGGAACTGAGATGACGTTAGGGTACTTCCATACATGGACAGCAGAACTGCAGTTTATAAATAAGAGAAGTTTCAGAGGAGTGGAGAAAGAGGGTCTTTCAGAAGCCATTGGAAGAAAGTGAAACAGCGAGAGATGGTTTTTCTGCATCGCACTGTTGTTTGGTTGTTTTGGAATTCAAAAAAATCTTGCTGAACCACCGATTGGTCCACAGATTTTAACAGCCTGGATGGGGACTCATTGTATCCTTTCACAGTCCATGTATTTATCAATGCTGCACTACTGATTCAGGGAGCAGTTAGCACTAGAAATCATTATTTGGTTTTGAGGATGATAAATTCCCTACTCTATACATACTTTTAAAATGTAATTTCTTTAATCCACAGAATGTTGGTGGAAGATTCTAGGAGTGCCTGATGCAAGAACCGGCCTGAATGAATTAATTGGTGAAAATCAAAAGCCATTGACTATGCTTTGGTTGCCAAAGACAGAGGACCATGCTACAACATCTAAAAGATCGGGCCTTAGCCATTTTCAGGGTCACGGGGGCGGAGGTCACAGGAGCCACTTTCCTGATTGAAGTGATTCTCTTTTCCTTCTCAATTCTTGGTCATTATATTCTGTTTTTTTTTTTTTTATCGATTAGCTTCTAAATCATTTTGAGGCACTGAGTAAGAGCTCTTAAAATGTTAGTAAAAATATGTATTTTGCTTCAGATAAAATTGACTTTGTGTATACTCAAAGTCACACTCTATAAATCCTATTTAGGAATAGGAAGGACTTATGGTCCAGGGTTACTGAACCTGAGAATGCTGTGCTGTCACAGGGCAGGGGGTTGTGGTGGATTCTGCAGTGTCAGCCTTGGAAGGAGCTGTAGAAACGGCAGATTTTCAGCAGAGGGGATCTGGATGGCACTCTGAAGGAGAAAGAGGACTTCTGTCGAGGCCACATATGTGTGGCAAGGACACATAATTTTTCTCAGATGTTTATTCATGGCAGAATTGCTGAGAGAGTACGTCAGGGATTTTGAAACCTGGGTTAACATCCCTGCCATACAGAAGCAGAACTGGTGCACCCTGTAAAAACAAGCCCAATCTCCCTTCCAGAAGATTTGATTCTTAAAAGAGCAATGCAAGTATGTGAGAGCAACAACATTGCTGGGCATCATATTTGTAATATTCATCTCACATTGCAAATGAGGAAATTGAGCCAAAATAGAAGGGGGTGACCTTCTGAAGGTCATACCACTGCAGCCTCAATTTCAACTTAGGCAGTTGGACCAAAGAGGCCCTGAAGTCCCCGGGGAAGCCACCGGAGTTCAGTTGTTAATGCTTTGGACACCAGTGCATGTGACTGCTTCTTGGAAGTCGGAATGAGAGGAAGAGGTTAGGCAGAGGCTCTGTGCATCCATGTACAGACAGGAGAAGATAAACAGCAGAGCAAAGGTTAACAAGCCCTCTCCCTCCGTCAGAATCTCAATGCA